AGCGAGGGCATACTTTATGCCAAACGCCACTACTTGGATCATGTAGCTTAATGTTTATTGGTTATTTTTTTTAAAAAGTTTGTACTAAATAAATATGTTTCAATTTTATATCTTTTAAATTGTAAGTTCCTATTTTGACTGATATGTAACAAAGCATTATTATTTATTTTATTAAATAAAATTTTAATCTTCTGAATAAAATTTGCTGTCATCAAGAAACCAGCGCTATCTAACGGACTCTCACGGCCTGTATATACAAAGCATTTTGTGATAAATCCTATTGTCCCGCTGTCTTTGTTGACATCAAAGGTGTTTTTGATTCTGTACATTTTTCTACCCTTATTTCCCTTTTACATTCTTATTCTATACCCCCCCCCTACACTTTGTAATTTTATTTCACGTCTCTATTCACAACGTTTCCTTACTTTCACTTCTCCTTCCGGTTTAATATTAAACCGCACTTCCTACCGCGGCCTTCATAGGGTAGCTGCCTTAGTCCTCTTCTTTTTAATATTTACATGAGCAAAATTAGCCTCTCCCTCATCTCTAGTGGTACTTTCTCACTTTTCTATGCTGATGATATCGTTATTTTTTCTCCTCATATATCCATTCATAATGCTCTCAACTCCCTTAATAATACACTTGCCGTCCTCTCTAACTCTTCAAATTCATTATTTTGAGGCTGCTTCATTGAAAAGCTAGTTAATAATTTTCACTAGAAAACGCTTATCGTCAGTTAACTTCATAATTACTCTTCATAAGATGACCATCCCCCCTCTGAGTGCGTCACTTATTTAGTCCTTAAACTGGATCCTAAGCTGAGATGGCTTCCTCATTTCCTTTTCATTCTCTCGTCCGCTGCTCGCTGGGCAAATTTCTTACGCTTTATTACTGGTACATCCTGGGGCTCTCATCCCTCCTCATTACTTCTCATTTTTAAATCCGTTATCCGCGCTAAAATTGAATATGGTTCTTTTTTATTTTTTTCAGCTTCTTACACTCATAGGAAAAAACTAAATTCCCTTTTAATCCGCATGCTTGCGCAGCATTCTTGATGTTCTTAAGTCTACCCCGAGCCATAGTATTTTTGTTGAGTGCTCCTCTCCCCCCTCGAAATCCGTTGTCACTTGCTTGCTAATAAATTTCTCCTAAAATCTCTCTCTACCCCTAACCATCATATCTTCTCCTTATACTCTGAATTAAGTAATTGTAGGCGCTATGTGCCTAAATCACTGCCAATTTTAGCCTCAGTATGCTCTTCTCTGTCTCCCATGGTCTGTCACATTTACAAAACACACTCCAGATTACCTTTATTTGACCCTTACACTAGCTCCCATAGTGTATACTTCAACGTGTTTCCTCGGCTTCCCTCCTTCAATCCTCCGTTCTCTTCCTACAACTTCTGTTAATAATCTTTTCAAAGATTATATTTCAGCTAGTTTTCCCACTAAATGCTTGATATTCACAGATGGTTCTGTATCAACTCGGCTGGTTGTTCATTCTTTATTCCTGAACTTAAAATTTCATATTCAGCTGCACTCCACCCTTCTTCTTCTTTTACCACTGAATGCCGTGCCATCGTTAATGCTCTCATTTTTATATCTTCTACTTCAATTAATGAATTTGCTATTTTTTCTGATTCTCTATCTTGCCTACTTGCCCTCACTTCTAATCCATTTTGCTCTCGTCTTTCTCCTTACATTCTTATTATTAGATCACTTATCTCCTTAATTCGATCCCAAAATAAATCTATTGTTTTTCACTGGGTGTCGGGCCACGCCAGTATATTAGGTAACAAAATAGCTGACCGTCTTGCTACTTCTACTTCCTCCTTCTTTACTTCTTATAGTCATAACATTCCCGCATCTGACTTCTTCCGCCTCTTTCGACAGACAGTTCTTCAAGCCTGGCAGGACAGTTGGGCTACAATAATATTGAAAACGGTATGTTGTTACCGCTCGATTTCTCCTTCCATTATTCATTCTCCATGGTTTCATAACTTTGACTTATCCAGAAATATCATTTCTCAGTACTCAAGATTTAGGTTAGATCATAATCTTCTGCCTAACCATGCATTCCATCTTTTCTTAAAATCCGTTCGCTTCTTTCCCCTACATGATAGCTCTATGCGATTTTTCTCATCTTCTCTTTGATTGTCCTGCCCTAATTAACAGCAGAAATAAACTATTCAGCCTCTTAGCCTCCCACAATATTAATCCCCCTTCTTTCTTTATTATTAATTCAATCATATCTTTCTTGTGTAGTTCCGGCTTTGTCATTTAATCTCTCATTATTTTATTTATATTTTTCTATTTACTTATTTATTTATTTTCTCTCTTCCTCCATTATTTCAAATAAAATTTTATTTAGTAATTATTTTAGTTTGTACTTTTAAATTTCTATTAACAATAATTTTAATAATATTTAATTTTTTCTTTATTTTTGAGTATACTTACGATTATTGTCATATTTGTTATACCATTATAACGTAGCACTGTTACTGTTATACTTCTAATTTACTTATTTTAATTAATATTTTATAATTGTTGAGCTAAATATTATTTTAATAAAGGCTATAAAAAAAAAAAAAAGCGCGTTTTTAAAGTGCATTCAACAGTAATCGTGTTTTGCAGATTGTATATGAATGCACAAAAACATAAGGAAATGCATATGTGCGTAATACGATAAAAACGCGTACTATGATAGAGCACTCTTCTTACTCATTTTACTCTGATTGCCACAACACTGTACTAGTGTATAATGATTCACAGGAGGTGGTTGCTAGAGTGTGGTAGTGATGGCTGACGGTGTTACCTTGCCACTGATATGGAACACAACGCCATCTCTGGAGCGTTGTATGCACATCATTTTTACTAGAACGTCTTCTTAAGTTTCCCTTAGAGGAGATCCCTTTAATTTCGGCCGTTACTGAAGATAAAAATTTCCCGGGTCCCTTATCTTTACGTGGCTTACTTCCTCATACCTTTCGAGTAGAAAGTATAGTCAATCTGTTTATTTCTCACCTATACCTTACCTTCTTTTCCTAGTGACACAGCATTCATCAGCCTTCCTCCTCCCAAATTTCTAAGCAATTGACTTTTTTCCTTCTTTCTGGATTTGTAATAACATAGTCCGTGAAACAAACTCTTCCCATTCCAAAATATGGAATGTGTTTGAGTTCTTCTAGCGTGACCATGCTCTTCTCATCCACACTTAGGAATAGAGTTTGTCCTTTAGAGCCAACTTCTATATCATGGTGGATTTTTCAGATAGCCATGTTCAGTCCCTGGTTCTGTTTTCCCAAGATTTTCTTAGAATCCCTGGGCAGTATGTGAGTGACCATCTGATTGTACCTGATCGTGTTGAAAGCCTCCATTTGGATCTCAGCACCATTCCAAAGTTTTATTTTGTTGGCATTTTCAGTGAGCCACTTAAGAGACGTCTTTTGGGCTGCACTGATCACATGTGCTCCGTTTCATTGAGCCTAGCATTGTCAAACCTTGGTACATCAGTTCTATCAGTACCTGATAGTATCAAGTCTCCAATACAAGATTCAATGAGTTGCTTCTGTTCTGTAGTCAACTTATTGTCGTGCAACTCCAGGTTTACTTCTGCTGATACCATCTTATGCTAGTTGACTGTTTACTAAATGTCCCATTGTTCACATTGAGATTTTTAATTTCAATGATTCTTCTACAAAGAGCTATTAGTTTACGCTCTTGTTCCGACAGGTTGTTTGTAGGATTTGTGTTCGCTCCAAATTTATTGTTTTGTAGTTTTTCTATATTTTTATCCATATAGTTCCCGCGAGTAGTCAAGAAATAAAAGTTTATCACAACAGAGCTCGATACTGTGATACAGCTGTATACTCAGTGATGCGCCATAGAGTATCCCAATGGTCCTCACTTATCCTTTCTGCTACTATTCTGTGATAAGTTAGCAATTCTTTCACTTGGTATGGCTGGGTTAGGAGGGCCTATTTACTGTTAGCGAGCAAGTATGCCTAAGGCTACCAGTCCCAATTAACATGAGTTATGATAGGCTAAGAGAAATGGTAGTAATGTCACATCCACTGAGTTTATTAGGGGTTGTTAAGCCCATGATCCTTTCTGATCCCCCTGTGGGATCTTTTAGTATTACTTCATTAACTATTTAAAAATGGGTTCCTATTAATGAACTTTAAACTTTTTGAGAATAATAAAAAATCATAAAGAACCAATCTGATGATAGGGGATGATAATGTATAGTAATTTTTTACCCCATTAAAAATCGTTGGTTTGAAAATACATTGTGAGTCAGAATTGTCTTGGTATAAAAATCAACTGTTTTTCTCTAACAAATTCTCTCAATTTAATTATCACTTCATCTGTGCTATAGCTTTATCACTTAATTTATGATCTTTTATCAATTTTTCCAACATTATTGTCTGTTAAAGATGCCATAGAATGACCAGTATGATCATCATCTTCAAAATCTTCCCTTCCATTACAAAACCATTTGTATCACTCTAAAACATAAGTTCTCAATAAACAATATTTACCCTAAACTTCACTTAACATTCAAAATGATTTAACAAGAAATTATAATATTATAAACACTAGTTGTAAGACAAATAATATGAATAAAAATGAACCAAATTCTTCAATATTTTTAGTACTATTACATTAGTGTCTTAATTATATTTCAACAATCATAATGTAAATAACATTGATAAATTAAGAATTTATTTAGAAAATTTCATTACTTTATTGTCACACATTGTATATTGAATACTATTACTCGTTTACATTTTTTTCATAAGATTGGTTAATTTTGAACTACAGAAGTTTTTGTAAAATATCCCTATAAGTTGTCGTATATTTTGATCACATCAATTATACGATGTCTTGTAATGCAAAGTGTATATAGCTTTAAGTTTTTTAATTAGTGATAATCTTTTTTCAAATCTTATAATAATAATTTTCAATAAATAATTGTTACTAAAAAAAAAATTTTATCAGAAAACGCAGCTTGATGAATTATACAGTGTGTTAAAAAAACCTAACCCTGAAGTGTTATTTCAATCATCATCCAAAGATAAACAGTCAACTAAAAATAAACATTTAGACAATACAGGTTAAAAGAAATACATATACTACATTTTTATCACTTTTCATATAAGTTGAATGTATTCTTTTAGATGCCATGTTGTCTGATTTAAGCTATAGTCGTACAGATAGTTCAAATGTAAGTTTAGATAGGAGTGACAGCAGTATTCATGTGAAAAACGATGATATTAAAATAGATTTTAAAGAATCAAAGCAACCTAAAGTTAATGTTCATAATAATGAAAAGAATACTAAATCATGCAAGGTAAATTGTAACCATATATATTTATTTTTGTCAATATCGAGTTGTAAGTTGTTTTCTATTTATTAAAATCTGTTATTTCCAGTAATATACATACATTACATAAAAATTAACTAAAGCTATCTTAAAATATTTTAATGATATTTTTTTTTATCAATCCTAAATATTCAATAATGTACCAAAAAATTGGCTGTTGTGTGCCTTTAAGCATGTAAAGGAAAGTCAATTTTTTATTTATTAATTGTGTATAATTTTTAATATAATAGAATATTATCCATAACAATGATTATATTTTTATTAACATAATGCAAGTTGTAACTACTTTTTTATAAAGAACTCTGTCACAGGTGGATTTATTTACCGAGCAAAATATCAGTTCGGTACTTGAAAATTCCACCAACAGACTAACAATGGTTAAGAAACCTCCTCCTTAGAAGGGCTGCTAGAAGGACTTAAAAAGCCATAAAAAAAAGAAAAAACTTATTTATAACCTATACTTATTTTATTTTTTTACATTTATATCAAGTCCACTACAGTAAACATAAATGGAGGACAAATCATAGCTACAACAACTGTGACAATGAACTCTGGTACTATTCATGCATCATCAGTCATTAAATCTCAAGAGAATCCTGAAACAGTATTTTCATCAAAGTCTACATTTACTGGTTTGTTCATAGAATTAATTGCTAACTAATAGTGATTAAAATTAGGGTTACTTTGTTTTTAAGAAATGTCCAAAGAGATTTTATAATTTGACTACTTAAATTTGACAAAAAAAAAAATTAATTTTCTTCAAAAATTCTTTATTTAATTGGTGTGTTTTTATATAAGTTTAAATAATGAGCATTTCATAATTAAAGGATCATACTAAAAAATGTATGTGGGATACAGGTTCATTTCTGTAAGTTTTTTGAGAGAACACTTTTATAATAAAAATAAAAATTAAAAACAATAACATTCATTACCGATTAAAACAACTAATAAAGTAAATTATTAAATTTAAAAAACATTCAAGGTTCAATTGAATCCTTATCATCTAATGAAATTGAAACACCTAATAAAGACAAAATATCTTCTGATAATACAGACCATGTTGAAAAAAAGCATAATTTTGTCAAAAAAAAAGTTGTCATTACTGAATTATGTGGGCATTGTTTAAAAAAGTAAGTCAAATTTAGAATTATAATTTTTTTTAATTGTTTACATTTTTTATTTATTTTTATTTTTTTAGAGTTAAATTTAATAGCTATATGTTCAAATGTTTTGAATGTAAAATTGTTGTTCATACAGAATGTAAGGACCAATTTTCTGTCTCATGTACACTTCATAGTAGGAATCAGAATGCATTAAATGTAATTTACATTTAAAAATGTATATAGAGTGATTCACTTATCATGAAGCACTTAATTAATTAAAAAATAAAAATGATTATTTTTTTATTGGTTTATTTTAGTTCAGTGTCTCGCTGAATTTATCAATTATGAAGTATTTTTTATATTCACCTCTTACTTTATAATGGTGTTAATTTAATTTCTCAAATGGCATCAGATATAATTAACTAGCTTATTAAATAGATAATGACTAGTCCAATACATGTTATTGACATGTTTGCCCAGGAAATTTTAATTATAAAAATAGCAGCATCCACTCTTCACACCCAGTCATAACTTTAAATTGTTGATAACTTCCTAAATACTGGTCCAAAATTTATTAATGACCAGTCATTTTCTTAATTAGATCATTTTATATTAAAAAAGCTAGTTTATTATATGTGTTGCCACTTACTAAATTAAAGTTGACACCCTGATAAAATATGAGAAATGAACATAAAATATTTTTTGATTGATAAATTCAGTCTAACATTAATCTAAAATCTTATATATTAGAAAAAAAATTTTTTTTCAATGAAAGTACTCAGTTATGAGATTCCGAGAAAATGATTAGCAAAGGTCGGTTGTTTTAAAATCTCGACAGTTTTCATTTTTTTACTTCGTTTTTTAAGGTTTGAAATTTTCACCAGACCCATATAAAGACATTTCTGATATATCATAAAAAAATTAATTCAATCCATTTATTTTTCAACGTTCTACAAGCCTTTTTTTTCTTTATACCCTCGAGATGCCAGGGCGCACCCCCAAAATTCTTGTGACATGAAAACGATTTTTTTTCGATTCACAATTTTATCAAGGCAATCTACACATGCCGAGAAAGCACCAAAAATCTGAAAATACGAGATCTTCTACAACTTCTACGACTTCTACAAGCATTTGAAATTCATAAAATTTCAATGAAAAATAATGATTTTTCTATATGCCTATAATACATGTATACATCTTATTATATAATAGAACAAGGAAAAAAACATTTTTCTAAGAAAATTACTTAATGTGCTCCGTTTTTCAATTTTTATTTTTAACAAAAGTTTATGGTCACGAGACTGAGAAAATTATTGTTAAAGGTCGGAAAATTTTTATCACCCGCATGTTTTGAATAAGAGTATTGACTCTTTTTTGTATATATATTTTGACTCTAAATTTGTAGAAAATAAATTTTTCTGTCAATTTCTCTTTTTAATTCATATTTAATAAATGTTATAGTTGTCATATATGAATTGATTGGGTTAGATTAACTATCTTTTTGTTTTGATTTTATGTTTGTTATTTTTATATATTATATTTAGCTTATTTGGTATACAGATACTTTCTGTTGATTTTTATCAAATATGTTTATAATATAAAATTTGTTGATATATTTAATAAAGTTTATTATTATATATGTATTTTATTTGAATTTTGGTTTTATAATCAGCTTACTGTTTAAATGTACTTTTTTCGCTTTGACTTATTTTTTTTTTATGTCCTTAAAGAGTTTATGTTAGGATATGATTTTGCATTTGTGCATAGCAATATATTTTGTATATTTTATCAAGGAATGTTTGATAAGTTATATATAAATTTCAGGACGGTTATAAGTATATAAGTTTGTAAATTCATTATTAGAATGGTACAGCATTTTTAATTGTATTTATCTCATATATGATGTATAAGTCTATGATTTTATCATAAAAATTAGGATCCATCTATGACAACTATGCTGTCAAACCACAATAATTAATATTCTTATTAAAAAATTGAATTTTTACATATTCCCAGGAATAATAACCTGATAAATTTTTTTTGTAATTCTATAATATTAACACAATTATTATAAATAAAATATTAATAATTATTATGTATACTAAGGGCGTATTTAAGGGGGATATGGGCAATTGTCCCCCTTGAACCAGAGATATCGATATTATTTTAGTCAACTTCTAAAAAATATAGATCTAATAACCTTTTTTTTTATCATCACTTTGATTTTTTGCAAAAAAAAGTTTTATAGCATGTTTACCAAAGTAAAAAAAATTAAATACCCTCCTAAAATAATTTCTGAATACGTCTAAACGGAATACCTCATTAACAAACGTCAACCTTATGCTTAACACATTTTACTATATTCTCATTTTGAATTTTACTGATTTTAATGATTAAACTTCTAATACATTTTTGTTACACTGATTTTGATGTAATATTTTTCGTGCAAATCACTTATTGTGTCTGGCGTAGCTGGCTACTCCTACTGGAATCAATAGCCTACTACAAGAATAGACCCCAAAGAGACCCATGCGCCCTTTGGCACGTGAGGCTTGCAGGGTCCCAGCTAGACAAAGCCTAGTAAACCAATAAAAAGTAATCAATATTCTTTTTTTATTTTCAATTAAGTTTTTTATGATAAGTGAATCACTCAACATATAATTAATCTAATGATAATTTATTATATAATTTATATAGGGTGGAGTTTCTCCTATAATTGTTCATTGTATCAATGAAATTGAAAAGAGAGGATTAGAGATTGTTGGATTATATAGAATTTCTGGCTCAGAAAAAGAAATAAAACTATTGAAAGAAAAATTTAATAATAGCCTTCCGTGTTTAGATAGTGTGGATATTCATGTATTGTGTAGTTATCTCAAAGAATATATCCGTACACAAAATACACACTTAATATCGGAAGCCATTCTAGTGAAGTTTGGTGAAGCTGTTCAAAATTTTCATACAATTAGTCTGTCATTAAATCGTATTGTATTTCAATTACCATCTGTTAATCGTATTACTCTTGCCTATTTGATACTTCACTTGCAAAAGTAAGTTAATATTAAGAATTTCATTAACTTTCTATAAGTTTTCTATTAACTTTCTAAGCCGCACACGGGGATATTATACTTAAAGGAAGGACTAACTGCTACACTCCCCATGATGGTAACCCCCCTCGGAAGTTCTACTGGTGAGAAGACTGACTGCTATACATATTGCAGTAAGAATTCTTCATGTTATTATCCGCATGGTGGGCGCCAGCTCACACAGCCGGTCATAAAAACCTTTGCATAAAATTTTACATTATAAATTAATTATTGCTTTCAATTCAATTTTCTACTTTGCCATACACTTAGAAATTTTTTTTAGCCAAAATAAAATACCACAAATTTTCTATTTTATCTTTGTAAAATTTATTATGGCGTTAGAATGGTATAATGATCAGAAATATCAATTGTAAAACGTAATTTATTAAATAATTAATATTAGGCAGAGTTCTTATGTAAATAAAGATTCTCAAAACAATTGTTTTACTAACAGTAACCCAAATATTAGTGTGGATAGAGATCATAAATGAATATCAATGAATATTATTGACTGTTGTGAGAAAATATGATGTGTATCATATTTTGAGTAAAAATTGAAGGAATTTAAATTAATTTTAATTGGGATCCCTGCAATTCTAGTTGTGTTACTGCTTATTTAATAAATGTGAGGAAATTATATCAATATCATAATAAATTATTATAATCATAATACCTCGTCCTCAGTAATTCTATTATCTTTTCTTGTAGAACAAGGTTTATTTATATCAAAGTTTTTTTGGATAAATATTGGAGTACTTTTTCTAAAGAATTATTTTACTTAAAGCTTAATACATTAATTTTAAAAATATTATTTTATTCAAATTAAATTATTTGTATTCATACTGTGTAAATAATAGGTTCTTTAGAATCTTTAATTTATTTTTCAGTTCGAGTATCAAACTCTAAAATAAAAAATTTCACATAAAACATTTTTACCCGGTACCAAAATTTGTCCACATATCTCTTGCCATTTAAGAGCTCTAATTTTTGTCTTGTACTTAATATATAAACTTCTGTAAAATTAATGAAATTTCATTGAAGAACTATATCTTTAATTTTTGTAATATTTTGTGTCATCTTGTAAATGCAATCTATAATATATTTTTATACATATGAACATATGATTGAAAAAAGTATTTTCAATTTCTCTTGCAAAGCTATCTATTTAATGAGAATTAGTTATTTTAATTATTTTCAACTAGATAGCGTCACATAGCATGGCCCCGATCACTATATAAATAATGGGTCAACTCGTTAACCAAAATGTCAAACCTTATCAGAATAACTGTGATATTGATCATTATTAAATACTACTTTGTTATTAATCATTTTGTCTTATTCAGACAAATTTATATACAGGGTGATTTTTTTATCATAACCCACTTAATTATTTACAGAATAAAAATAGTTTTACAATTTTAAAATTTTGATTTATTAAACATGTATAATACATAAAGAATTACAAATTACATTTAGCTTATTGGTTTTTTATGGCGTCGTCATTTGCAGATACGTAGCATTTATTATCAATGGTAGTAAGGCACATAGTTGTGAGTTTATAATTACAATATGTAAACTAACCAAGCAAAAATGTTTAAGTTTTTTTATTCTGTTAGTAATTGATAAAGAAAACCACCTTGTACGTAGTTCTAAAATTAACTTTTTTTTAATATTAAACATCTAAAAACTGAAGTTTTTTAAATAACAAAAATAAGTTTTACAATAAATAAAAAACTAGCTAAATCACATTTTTTTTTTTTTTTTTT